CTCTGAGGAGTCGGGCGGTGTAACCAGAGGCCCCAGCGAGCGGACCGCACGGCGCCCTTGTCTCCCCAGGTAGGAGGCAGCATGTCTTTCCGAGGCGGAGGTCGTGGAGGCTTTAATCGAGGTGGTGGCGGCGGCGGCTTCAATCGTGGCGGCGGCGGCAACAATCACTTCCGAGGTGGCGGCGGCAATTTCCGAGGCGGCGGCGGCGGCCGTGGGGGCTTTGGACGAGGGGGTGGTCGTGGAGGCTTCAACAAATTTCAAGACCAAGGACCTCCGGAACGTGTCGTTTGTATGTCGGTGTAGCTTCCCTGTGGCGGCGGGGGTGGAAGGGAGAGCCAGCGGTGGGGGGAGATAGGGCTGTGTGAGTTCAATGCTCCACGCCGACTTGGCATCGTTGGGAACAGGAAAGCGAAGACTGGCGCGCAGCGTGGAAGTGGAAATTCGCCAGAGGAGCACCTGTAGCTAGGAAACATTGAGCGAGTCCTTCCATGTCTCCCGTCGTATAAATAAGAAAACCGATTCGGTTAAATTTCTGTGCCAGGACCAGGAAGCTAGTGGTAAATGAACAGTAAGAGAAAGCAGAAAACAGGGTTTGTTGTTGGTTTCATGGTTTTGCGTGGGGGAAAAAGCAGGGGGAAGACGAGAACTGAGCAGTTGTGGAGTTAATATCATTACAATCAGTGCCTGTGGGCTGGATGAGGCTTCAGCAGGATGGTTTGAAAAGAGAACAGCTAGAAGGAAGCCCATGCGTGCAGCACTGGGAGCCTGATTTAGGATAGAGGCAACGGGGTCAAGAAAGGATTAGATGGAAGAGCGATGTCAAAGGAAATAAAATAAGTAGGATTGGATTAATTAGAATCCACAGTAATAGAAGGTTCTCTCCGTAGCCTTAGGATAGGGATATCGAGCTGGTTTTGCTGGAATGTGATGAGCATTTCAGTTTACGTGACAGAAATAAAGGCAGTTATTTGAAATTCTACGCTTGAAGCATGCAGAAGTTGGTGGCAGTAGTGGGAAAGAGAGGAAAAGGTTGATTCATGATTAGGGAGAAGGAGGAGAAGCCAGGAGAATGGAGCATTGTTCAATGAAATAATAAAATAAAGCAACTTTCATTCTCCACTTTAATCTTTCAATACTTGATGCTAGATGGAGGTACAGTGAACCCTTGCCACTTCACGCTTCGACTTCCGCGGCTTCACTCTATCGCGGTTTCTGCGTAACAGCGCATGCTCTGTCATTACTGCCACTGATTGGCTCATACT